TCAGAGAGTCAGGTGGAAGACCCTCCGCAAGAGAAAGAGCATGGAAAATGGGGAGCCCTAAGCCTGGGTGGGAGAGCTGGCCCACTGTGGAGGGAGATCTGTCCTGTGGTTAGTGAGTGATCTTCTTGTTGCCAGATTCTAGGGGTGGGGGCTCAGAACATTAAAGGAAGAGACAACTGGAGAGGGGGGAAATGTTAGCGACCCTAGCCAAGATGCAAAAAGGGAACCCTCTTCCTTCCATGGATGTTAGTGGCTGTGGATCTTGGCTCCAATCCCGCCCTTAACATGGGGAAAAGGGAAGAGCTGGAGAAGACCCCAAAACCTAGAGCAGTGCCCATCCCTGCAGCCCACCTGGAGAGTTTCTTAAAAATAAAACCACGCCATTTTCTTCATCTGCAAATTGCATCTAGGTAAAAAGTGCATCAGAATATGCAGCCTGGAGTCTGCTCTCTTAATCAAACTGTCATCGTGAGTAATAATTATACCTTGGGAAACAGCAGAGTGACTCAAAAAGCCATACCCTCCCCCACCCAACCCCTCACACAGCTCAGAGCTTTGCACACAGTATGAAGAGGCCCAGAAAGGACAGGCACCATTTTCTCTTATCAGCTCTCTGAATACTTTCAATGATCACTGGGGCTCTAGTTCCTGATGGGCATCGATGGACAGTGTCTTTGCTGGCTAAAGAGTCAATTAGGCCTGGCTATTCCCAAGGTGCAGTGGACTGAGAGGGGGACAGGCAGGAGTAAATACTGTTAAGTGTCTGATATGTGCCCATGAGGCAGCTCCCAGGGAAGATGTCTTTGCCTCCAAGAAAGTGGCCTACAGCCTTAGGAACTAAATAACTAATTAACTAAATGAAAGATAAAGTGCTTCCCACAAGCTCAGATACAGCTACAAGCCAAAACAGAATAGCTAACATTCACTCAGCACCCACCGTGTGCCTGTTACTGGACTGAATATTTCATGTGCAGCTGAGGATATTAAATTGTGAAGAGGCCCTCTGGGTGTCAAAATGTTGAAATAATAGTCTGTACTTATTGGTACATGTCACAGCCCCCTGAAGACCTGCCTCATCCACCCCCATAGTCCCCCTGATCTGGCACTATTGGGGTGATCCTGAAACAGCAGAGTGCCTGTCCCATCTGCTTAGGGTCATGCTAGTGTCATCTCTGGTGTGTGCTCCCAGTGTATACTATCTCACCCCAGCCTTACCCAAGCCCCATAAGATAGGGATATCTTACATATGAGGAAACTACAGCTAAACGACCTGCCCAGCGTCATACGGAGAGTCCCAGGGCTGGGCTTGGAACCTAGGCATGCTGATTCCTAGCCTGGGTTGTTGACCACTGGCCTGCTTAGGAGGGAAGCACACATGAGGCTTGTAGAGACTGTGCCCCTGCTCTCGCTCCTGTGCCCTGCGACTGGTCCATTCTATGAGGAATGGTCATGAAGCCAGACTGCTCAGTACCATACCCTCAAAAAACTGACTTCTGCTCCTGTGCTTCTCTGCTCCCATCTCCCCTGTGTAACCACCATTCACCCAGGAGGCCAGGCCCACATGGGGAAAACTAGATCTGAGAGACCCTACATGTGAGTCCATGGGGGGACCACCATATCACCTCCCCTAGCCTTATCAGCATTTTTAGGGATGTGGAAATACAGTTAACAGGGACAGGGGCATAAGATGCAGGGGAAGAGTTAGGACAACAAGGGGAGAGTCTCTCAAGGAAGGATGGTAATGCAAGGAGAGTGGCACACAAGAGCTTGTTCCCCAAAGATCTTTGAGGTGGACACAGCTAAGTCCAGGATGAGACAGGCTGGTCCTGGGTAGAGGAGGAACAATACCTTCAGAAGTCCTGTGTGACACCTGCCCTGTGCCCCAATCCACACTCACTACATGCCTAATGCCACATCCTTTAGAAATTTTCAAGGTTTCTAGGCTGCATTCAATGAGTGCTTGCATAAAACCAGTGATGCGTACTTTACTCAGCATCACTTACCATAACCTTGACCTGCCAGTATGAATGACACACCTCATTTGAATGTTTTGCCAATGGGGCACCTCTAACTATCTCATGGCACAGAGTCTTTCTGAACACTCCTGGCAAATGCTGCCCTAAAGGACTAGGGACAAAAATACTTATTACTGGGCAGGGGGATAAGGAGATTTACCACTGGAAAGAGGGACACTTTATAACCCAGCAGTTCCCACAAGGTAGACACACTTTCCATTTCCTGTTTCTCTTAACAGACTCTAAGTCCCTCCAGGATCCATTTCAGGAAGCCCCTAATTTGTCCTTACAAATGGTCTTATTAAAGTCAAAGCCTGGTTTACGAGGCACCCTTCTTCCTTCCATCCCGGAGCTCCACTTTTCTAATAAGGAGCTCATTATAAAACTATGAATAATCAAAGCCTCATTTTATGAAGAATTTGTCAGCATCAGGCATTATTAGTCGTCTGATGTGGATTCTCCTTTAATTCATTCACAGTTCCCTTCAGCTAACTGGGCTTTGAGTCATTCCCACTTGGCCTACCTGCCACCCTCCAAGGACAAGCCTGGGTATCTCCTCTTCTTGAAACAGGCCATGTAGATGGGTATGGTATCCCTGAGAAAATAACACCAGCCCCCTCCCTGTCCAGGGACTATCCCCCCAATCAGGAACAATCCTACACATATTCCCCCAACACTTCTGAGGGCTTCATGGATGGGAATGAAAATCAGGGAGCTCCAAGCACTCTGTGGGTGCTGTTTTGGTCACCCTCTGTGAATGTGTCATAAAAATTAATATGGACCACTTTTTCCGTAGTGCACTATCACCTATCCTCCCCATAAGCAGGAGCTGAGGCTCAGAGAAGTTAACTGGTTTCCACGAATTTGAATCCAGCCCTAGAGGGCTCTGAAGCCCAGTTTCTTTCTGAGGCACCACCCTCCTCCAGCTCTATAGACAAATGAGCTGATCAAGGAATTGATTTTCTTCACTATCATCATCATCATTATCATCATAGGTCACTCAGTGATGGAAGTCCAAAATGGAATCCGGGAGAATTTGGTTACAAGATAAATGTATCCTGAGAGGGTCTCAGGGAAGCAAGGCAGTTCCCAGTTTTGACTTCCCAGAAGAACTCCAAGTTAGAGAAAGTTTGCCAGACAGACACAGGATACCCAGTTAGATTTGAATTGCAAATAAATGGTGATAAGCATAAGTATGGGTATAAGTATGTCCCAAATTTTTGAATTGACATACTGAAAACAAATATTCAAATATCCTTATTTGAAATTAAATTCTGAGTGTCCCATGTTTTTTTTTTTGCTAAATCTGGCACCTTCATCCCAGTGTTGAAGTCATGCTGGGAAGTCTCATGCTGGGCTACAGGTCCCAAGCTTTGCTCCAACAAGAGTTGCCATGGCAGCCTGAGCATGCCTTCAAGGCTCTGGGGAGCTGTCTCAATTTACCTCACAGCTCCCCCTCGCCCCTGAGCTTTCTAGGCTCCCAACTAACCAAGCTACTTTCAGTTCCACAATTTGTCAAGCTGCTTCTAACTTGTTGCTTTTGGCCTCTGACATTTGCACTTCCCTCCTCTGTGCTGTCTTCTTCCCCCTCTTCCTCTTTCCTGGCAAATTCCTATAGATCCTTCAGTCCTGACTTAGAGCCACTTGTGCCAGGAACCCTTCCTGGCCATCCCTGACTGGCTCTGCTCTCCCACCCAAGCACTGGATTGATTGTACTCTGCCCCTTCCCATGGCATGCCCTGCTCTTCCCCACTCCCACTCTGTCCTGGCAAGCAAGGGACATGTCAGACTCGCCTTGCCTTCCTGCACCTAACTTCAGCACCTGGTTGCAGGTGAGAAGCCAGTAAGAGAATGAATGAATGCAGACTGTCCTGCCAAAGTTGGGTCTTCTGAGTGACTGCTTCCTTTCTCTCTTCTGTCCTGAGTCACTTTTTCATTGCTGTATCCTGCTCTCCCCTGCCCTCCTACCCTCAGCAGTGCTTAGGTCATCAACAGCCCCTTCAGGTGAGCAGAGAACAGCTAGGACATGGAGGAAACTCCTGGCACCCCTTACCCTGTTCATGCCCTCATTAGGCCAGCCTACCTGCAGGTCTGCCTAAACCTCTTCTGCCTCTGTTTTCCAAGTTCTGCTGGCTAAGGCCTCCCCTTGGTCCCAACTTGGTTCCTTAAATGACCTAAGTTGGAGCTTGCCCCTTGGGAGTGGGGACATTCTGGTGTCATATGGCCCAGGGTTAGGGCAAGTGGCAGCGTTTGGTGGGTTTCAGAACATCACCCATATGCTCCATATTCACCAACCCAAAGCTTTGCCCACGCACAGCATGACAGCAGGAGCAAGCAGCCCAGAGCTTAACCCTTGAGGGGTATTTGGAAGACAGCTTCAGAAAGATCCAAGCACACACATCCAGAGTTAGGAGTTAGGCTTGAGTCCCCCTTGCAGTGCCCAGCCTGCTTCCAGTCAGAGCTCTGGGTTCAGAAAACTGGGAGGGAGACAAGAAATACCTGGAAGAGTGGAGTGGGGTGGGGTGGGTGAAGAATGTGACCCCAGGCAGTGCTGAAGGGCTGAGAGAATGGAGTAGGGCGGGGCAAGGGCCTAGATCCAAGGCAGGAGCTTAAGTTGGATTCCCAAGCCCCCAACTGGCTTGCGGCTCTGACTCTGACTTATAGAGGCACAAGCTTTCTGTTCCTTCGTGCCGGTGTGCCCCAGCCTCCCCTGTCTATATCAAGAGCACAAAAAGGGATAACACCTTTGAGACTCAAATTAACTCCAAAAATAGAACCTCTGGCCCCCAGCTGAAGGCCAGAGAGCTCGGGGCCTGCACAGCAACGTGACTCCCACTTTCTGGGTCAGTCGCGCGTTTTCCTGGAACCCCTAGTTCCTGGTACCAGGTACCCCCATGCCGGAATTGCCGCTCGCTCTAGCACCTTCCACCCAGTCAAGCCAGGAACCCTTGTGCCAGGGGTTCGCGAATGTGAGAGGAAACTCACCGAGAGCGAGGCGCGGACTCCAGCGACCGCTTCTCAGGCCCTGCCAGGTGAGTCGGGGGGCTGCGCAGGTTCAGGTGAGTCAGGGGCTGCGACAGGTACTGTGCGGCGGCTCTGGAGGCTGTGGCTGAGTAAGAGGGCTGACAGGTTGGTGCTTTCCCCCTCCTCCTCCCAGTCGTTAACCACACCCTTGCTGCTCTCCTTCCCACTTCCTTAAAGGGTGGGATGTGCAGTCTGTGCCTGCTCCAGCCTCTTACCATAAACTCTGAAATAGATGCTGCCGCCAATTCCTTGAGCTGCCGGGCTGACCTGGGGCCATCTCTGCCATCCCCCTGACCCAAATGGGCTCCCCAGGAGCCCCGGGTTCCTACCGCCTCTCCCTCCTCCTCCCACTCCTCTGGTGGCCTTTTGGAGGCCATACTTCTTTGGCTGGCTTTGCAGTGGAAGAGGGTTACCTGTCAAGCTCTCAGCACCTGTGTCCCAGTCTCTGCATCCACACTAGACTCAGCCCCCTTGCAGGAAGGACATCAGGTGAATACTACCCAGGGTGCTGTCAAAACTGATTCAGTTCCTACCGAAATGCTAAGGACCAAGTGCCTGAGCTGAGACTAGCAGGCTCAGAGGCCGGAGGTGGAAGTGTCAGAGAAGCCAGACAGCTTTCTGCTGGGGTCCCTCCTGATATCAGTTCACTTGGATAACTAAAGAAAGGGTATGGTCACCTGGTTACTCAGGACAGTGGGATTTGAAGCAGGGACTCAAGGGCAACGTGCAACACTTCTTCCATTCCTCTGGAAAGATCCCAGACTTTCTCCAGAGTGGGAGGAGGTGAACTGGACTCTGTAGAAGGTCAAAATGCTGGCATGCACTCATTGTCACCCACATTCTCAGAGTTCTTCTTCAGAGTCCCTTCTCCACGACTCCAGAAGTTGTGTCATGCTGCTCAGCCACCTGTGACAGCCAGGCATATATGGCTACTTCAATGACATTTCCTCCCTGAACTAAGTAGATCAGACATCCCAGAAGAGCAAAAGGAAAACTGGCTTTTGGCAAACATGTCCAGGATAAGACCACTGTGCTAAAGAAGCACTCATGCCACATGATTGCCTTGAATTTTCCCCATTTTCTGAGAATAAAAGGCAGACTTGATTGTTAACAAAACCAGAAAGTTAACATTTTTTCAAAGCATATCAGTGGCTTTTCCCTGGATGCTACTCTGCATCAACTAGATATCGGGTCCCTGAACAATGTGCCCCATGGTGGCACTCAAAACCCATGGTATGAGGCTGCTGGAGTCCTCTCCTTGGTCATTCTGCTCACAGATTTGTCACACTCTGTGAAATCACTTGCAGTCTTAGAGATAAAGCTATGGCTGCCAGTGGTGAGAAGCTGGCCAGGTCGGAGACTATGACTAGGACTTGGAGAGACAAGGCAGGTGGATAGGACAAGCTTAAAGTAGGAAGGAAGGTGCTGGGACATTGAGGTGGTAAGTGACAACACGGCTCGGAGACTCCAGAGGGCATCAGGAGGTAGATGGCCCTCCCATCCTAGGATACAAGGATGAGGGTTGAAGGCCAGGTCCTGAGAAAGTTAGATCCCTGAGTGAGGCTCTGAGAGTCTGTGGGAGGGTAGATGGTGCACTGAGACTAAGACCAAAGCCAATGGGACCACTTTATGAAGAGGTACGTTTGTGTGTGCTGACCCTATGTGGCCATGTGGGTTAACTACAACTTCATCTCTACTGGACCTAATTCAGGGAGATTTCAGATTGCTTTCAGTAGTTGTTCAATTCTTCAGAACTTCTTTGTAGCTCCAAACCTAGCTCCAAGAAGCACAGGAGTATAGGGTTTTTTAAAATATAGAGACCTTGAGAAACTCCTAAGATGACCAGTTCTGCCTTCAGGTGTCCTTAGGTCTGTCCAGTGTAGCCACAAGGTTCGAAGGTAACAGGTCACACACTTCCACCTGTCCCCTATCCTTTAGACAACTTGTCAGGAACTCTATGATTTTATATTGATGCTCTAAAATACACTACCATGGTTCCTTGTAGATGTGATAATGACCTACATCATGGAGAAGCAACATTTCTCCTTCTATCCACTCTGCTGTCAAAGTGGGAGGCCCTGGTGGGGAGAAGAGGGTGCCTGCATCACTAGGCAGAGAAAGTGTAAGGAAAAGGATTCTGAGCAAACATTCCCTAGCCACTGGGCTTTCTGTTTAGATGTCACTCCCTCGCTGCAGGCTCAGGTCTACAACCTGCATCAGACATGCCCCAATAGCTTCCCCTGCAGTACTATCCTTGAGTGTCTCCCAAGAACCCACTGTTAGAATCTGTGACTCCCTCGGAATCCCAAAGCCATGTAGTCTCCACATCATGGGAATCTTTCCAAGCATCTTTTGTATTCATTGTTTTTTTTTATTTTTTAATTTTTTCTAATTCCATCATCCCCACCCTGGCTCAGGTCCTCGTTGTTGTCTGGACTTCTGTGAAAGGGTTCTCCTAACCTGCTCCCACCCCTGACCTGGGAGTCATCAAGACCAGAGGAGCCTACACAGGTGACAAACTTTGGGGATGACATTTGGAAACACAGGAATGGATAAGATTGTTGAGGGCAAGAGTCAGAGGGAACAGAGAGCTTGAGGCCAGTCAGGCTTTATCCAGGAGCAATTAGGCAGAGGCACAAATCAAATGGGGCAGGCTGATGAGATAGAAAGAGGACATGGAGGTAGCACATGCTGGCAACTCTTGTGAAGAGCTTGGTTGTCATGGGGAAATTGAGGGGCGGTTTGAGAGAGGGCCACTTTGTGATTGGTTTAAGGTAACAGCCAGTTGTGCAGGTATAGTGCACATGGGAAGGACCCAGCAAGAGGGAAGAGGCTGCAACCTTGAGCAATTGAATCCATCTCTCTGAGCTTGTGCACAGTGTCCCCCTTATCTGCACTTTCCAGTGTCAGTTACCCACTGTCAATAAAAGAAGCATGAGTAGGATATCATTGGATATTCTGAGAGACCATAAGTCTTTCCTTCAAAGCTGTTCTTATAGTGTTGTTATAATTATTCTATTTTATTATTATTGTTAATCTCTCACCTAACTAATGTATATTTTAAAGTTTCTCACATATGTATCATATATGTATGGATAGGAAGAAAAGTTATATAGGGTCTAGCACTACTTGTGGTTTCAGGCATCCTCTGGGGATCTTGGAACATGTCCTCCTTGGATAAGGGGGCCCTACTGTACTCACTAATCTAGAAGATGAGAAGAATAGTATTATCTGCTCTACTATTATGGTTTGGATATGAAGTGTCCCCCAAAGGCTCCTTTGTTGAAGGCTTGGTCCCTAATGCAGCAATCTGCAGGGGTGAAAATTTGGGGAAGTGATTGGATCATGAGGGCCTGGATCTCATTAATGCTCTAATCCATGAAGGGATTCCTAGCTGAAGGGACTGCTGGGAGGTGGTGGAAACTGTAAAAAGTGGAACCTAAATGGAGGGAGTGGGTCCTTGGAGGAGGACTTTTGTTCCCAGTCCCCTCCTTCTCTCTTTCTGTGCTTCCCAGCTGCCATGAGGTGAGCAGCTTTCCCTCAACAGACCCTCCTTCCATGATGTTCTGCCTCACTTCAGGTCCAAGTAATGGAGCCAGCTGACCATGGACTGAAGCCTCTGAAACCATGAGCCCAAATAAATCTTTCCTCCTCTAAGTTGTTTTCTCAGGCATTCTCTCACAGTGATGGGAAGCTTACTAACACATCTACCTATTTCACAGGTATTGTAAAGCACAAATTAAATGATAGCTGTGAAAATGCTAAAAAATGCTATAGTTATTGGTTTTAGAAATGATAGGAATTAAACAGCATAGAGTTAGTGGGAGAGATTATACATATATCTGAACACAGATAAAACTTACCGAGTGTTCACTGTGTGCCAAGAACCTTCATTTATCCTCTGTTGACCTCTACAACCATAGCTGAGGTAGATGGAATTATTTGCAGAAAGGAAAAGGAGGCTTTGAGAAGGGAAATGTGTCCACGGCCATGTAAATAGGAAAGAGCAGAGCTGAACCTAAAACCATCAATGGAGGAGCTGTTACTATGTAACTGGAGCCTCTTCAGTGAGGGTGAGAGAATTTAATTTACATAATGTAAATTTACTAATAGAAAAAAAATATTCTAAAAGGAAAGTATGGTTATAAATGTTCTGAACAGAAAAGCACAAAGCAAATATTCATGGAGACAAGGGCAAAATGATTCAAGGCCCTAATCAAGGAATGTCTATCTCCAGTTTAACCAGAAACCACTGAGTTTATTAAAATGGGCCACAATTTAGTCCAATATAAAGAACTCAAAACCACATCCTGAACTTGAAAAGAACCCTTTTATCCCAACCATGAACGTACTGCTTGCTAATCCCCAGTATTCATTTTCTTTCCCTTCCTTAATTGAATTAATTGAATTTTAAATTTCTTTTAGGTCACAGCCTACCCCAAATCTGGACTATATTTCCCAGTCTTCCTCACAGGTGTAATCATGTGATAAAATGCACCATTACAGTGGTTGGTGAGTAGAAAGTATGCATGCAACCTAAGGATCCTGCCCTTCAAGGGAATGGGCACACTATCCAATAGTCCCTTCTCCACCTCCAGCTGACAAGAAAACCTGGAGCAGCCATCTTGGTCTATGATGTTGAGAATGGCTGAGTGATGTGAGATGAGATCTGGGTCCCTACCCAGCCACATGGTCACCCTGGGCACGATCTGGACCTAGGTGGACTTTTACAGGAGAGAAACATTTAACATGCTCAGGGTACTACATTTGGGACCTTTCTGTTATATAGCCAGAACTGCATCTGTGATACTGTGAAGTAAGAAATACATATTTGGCATCCCCAGGGGGTCCTGGCTCATAGCTCCTAAAACCATTGGAATCTCCAAAGTAATAAGTGTCTTTTGTGTACTAACAAGACAACTAGTGGTAGGAGGCCCCTAAATAAATGCAAGATGGGGGATATATCTAGAAAGACTGAGGCAGGATAGAGGGACGGACATTGGGTGCCCTCCCCCAGCCTCTGGATAGGAGAGAAAAGTTGAAGTCATCACCTGGGGCCATTGTAATTGATTGATGGAATTGATCATGCCTAGGAAGCTCCCTAAACACTCAAAAAGAGAGAGCCTCCAGGTAGTTGAACACACAGAGGTGCTGGAGGGGCATCCCAAAGGGGGCCTAAAATGTCCACACCCCTTTCTTGTGCCTCTTCACATCTCTGTCATCTGGCTTTTCATCTGTATTCTTGGTATTATCTTTTACAATAAATGGGAAAGTGGAAGTCAAGTGTTTTTCTGGGCCCTGTGAGCTCCTCTAGCAAATTAATGGAACACATGGAGGAGGACCATAGGAGCCCTGGTCTACAGTCAGAGGCATGGGCCACAACCTGGGACTTGCAGCTGGGCATCTGAAGTGGGGGCAGTCTTTCGTGACCCAGAGCCCAACTTCGGGATCTGGTTTTATCTCCAGGCAGTGAGCAGCAATATTGGGTTGAACTAGAGGACATCCAGCTGGTGTCCTACATCAGAGAAATGGTTGTTGGTAGGGAGACTTAACACCTGCTGTCCAAAGTGACTGCTGAGTGGGGGTCTGAGAGTAGGAAGAAGAAAACAATGTTGTTGCTTTTTCCTTCAGAGTTTCCCAACTAAGACACCATCATGTAGCCTTTGTTCTAGCCACACATTAAGGCAGAACCTCAAGGTCCTCATCTAATAAAAGGGGATTTACCTTTCAGGGTTGTTAAAAGGACAAGAAATGGTGCAAGTACATGACGATCCATGGAGACTATGGCCTGTTGTTAAAATGAGTGCCTGAAAACAAAACAATGCTATTTAAAAATGTGCCACCTCCCTGCCTTCAAGGGGACAAATAAAAAGATGGAGGGGGGAGACGAAAAAAAAAATAGCAAAGTTGAAAATGAATGATGGGTATGTGGGGTTAATTATA